TATTCTAAAATTCACTAACGGTAAGAACAAAAAAAAATTCAGCGTCGTCCAAAATAAATATTAATTAAGAAATTCCAGCTTATGATCAAAAAATCAATGTCCTTCGACGCGAAAATTCTCCGGACATAACAGATGCAACGGATTGCTCAGCGGAAAAAATTTATATTTTTTTTAAAGAATGTTTGCACCAAAGACAAATTCCGATTCAGAATATAGTAGGTTTAGCGTGTGATAATGCCAGCGTTATGGTCGGTGTTTAAATTGCGCTTCGAAATTGTCAATAAAAAACGTCGAAGGCAACGATGATGATTTGGGCGGCGCGGAGGGGTGCAGTGCGGGATGAGATTCGGATGGGACTCGGGTGATTTTCACAATTAATAAAGGTTCGACATTAATTTACGTCACTTTTAATTTCACTTATCACTAACTGTACAAGTTAAGGATATAAATAGTTCGATGATATTCCAAATTACTATAAACGTGAATTGGTGCGGGTCACGAGGTTATTTGAACATGTGCCCACGCGGTGATTTTCCGTTGAGGTTCGATATTTCACTGACGCTAATTAACTGCAATTAATTAACACAAGGGAAAACGTTGAAGTTCAATAACACGGAGATGAAGTTTGGATAAAGATTAAGATAACGATTCACGATGAGGATCGATAAAAAACCCGATGACTTGCGATAATTATCAATTAACAAACTAGGTGATGAGCACTCTATAAACTCGATACGTATACTGAATGATGACGGGACTCTCGGACCCTCGGCCCTTTCCGGGACGCCGCGGAGTCTCTCGATTGTCCAGTTAGCAATTTTGGGGGAAATTCCGTCGCTCCCTGCAAAATGCTGCCAGGATTTTGGACATCCCGCCCGCCCTCGTCATCCCCTGATGACGAAGGTGTTGATGATGTGCTGGAGATGATGCTCTGGTTGATGATCCGTTCATGGGCTTGAAGGAGGCGTAAATTCCGTAGGCCGATTTCAGGATCGATGGAGATGACCTGTTGAGGGGAGAAACACAGGGTGAGAGATGTATCACTTGTCAATAAATTAAGATAAAAAAAATGTGATACTTATCTCTCCGTCCTGGGTTCCCCGAAGTTCTCAGTTTGTGGTCCTCGAATCAGTTGGATTTTCCAGATGATCTGCGTTGATTGGCAAAGGGACGAGCTGATGTATTGTTCTAGATGTGATCTGAGTGGAGGTCCTGAGGTCCACCACTCTCGTTCGCTCGTCCTTTCCTGGATGGATGTTGATGACTCTGGCGAGGGGCCACTTTGTTGGTGGAAACCTGTCGTCAGTGATGAGGAGTAACGTCCCTGGTTGAATATCGTTGACTGGATGTTTCCACTTGTATATGGACTGATAACGATGCAAACATTCCTTAGACCATCGATCCCAGAAGTGTTGTAGTTTTTGCGTGATGAGTTGCCAACGATTAAGTCGAGCTTCGTTGAGTTGCAGTAACGATGGCTCGGGGATCGCGTTGAGTGTCTCTCCGATGAGGAAGTGCCCTGGGGTCAAGGCTGATGCGTCCTCTGGATCGTTGGTAAGTGGACAGAGGGGTCTGGAGTTGAGGACCGCCTCAATCTGAGTCAAAAGAGTCGTAAATTCTTCGTACGTCAGAGTTGAGGATCCCATGATGCGAAGAAGATGGTATTTTACTGATTTAACAGCAGCCTCACACTTGCCTCCCACGTGTGGAGAATGAGGAGGGATGAATTTCCACTGGTTGCCCTCCGATGCTAGGTGAAATGCTAGATCCCTGAATTCCCGTTGTGCCTCGTCGAACCGTTGTCCCAGTTGACGTTGAGCTCCGATGAAGTTCGTACCCCTGTCGCTGGTGATTGTCGCGCAGATACCTCGTCTGCTGGTGAAGCGCTTTTACGCTGCGATGAAGGCCTCCGATGATGCGTCTGTCACAATTTCTAGATGAATGGCTGATGTTGATGGCAGACAAACACGCTGACTTACCCTTTGTACATCTTCGTGCTGGCCCCTGATCCTCTCCACCTCAGAATGTTGAAGGGTCCCGCGAAGTCGACGCCTGAGTGGAGAAATGGCCTTGTTGGTGTCACTCTTCTCTCTGGTAATTGTCCCATAATCTGCTGGGCTCTTGTTGCTCGATGACGTGCGCAGATAATGCACTTAAGGATGTGAGAACGTACTGGGGCGCGTCCGCCAATGATCCAGTACTTCTGTCTGATGTGAGCCAATGTGAGTTGTGTGCCTCCATGCAGACTGCGTGCATGTGCATGCTCGATGATTAATGTTGATATTCTCGAGTGACGTGGGATGATTGCTGGATGTTTTTCCTCTCGGTCCAAGCGGGTGTGTCCTAGTCTCCCACCGAGACGTAGAACACCTTCTCCATCGACGAATGGAGTCAATGTTGATAGTCGATGATTTGCCGGCAGTGATCCTCCGTTGCTGAGGGTGTTGATTTCCTGAGCGAAGTATTGCTCCTGAGTGTGCTTGACCCAGTAGATTCTGCCTTCCTCAATTTCCTGAGGAGTGATGATTCGTCCTGTTGGTTCATCTTGATGTTGGAAACGTTTGACGACACGATGAACTATTGCTGAGATTCTCAATAATCTCCTCCATGGTGCATAACGATTTAGCAAATCGTCAGGATTGTTCATGCGCACTGGATGATTTCTTGCTGTTGAAGGTCTTTCTTCGAGGGCAGCTTCTTGAGCTGCGTTGAATGTCGATGCTGGGCATTGATCTTGGGGGAGTGTTAGCCATTCTGGCCCATTCCACCAAAGTTGATGCTCTGCTAGAGCTGCTGGGGTAATCCCTCTGGATGCACAATCCGCTGGATTGTCGATGCCGTTGATGTGTCTCCATTTTGCGGTTGGCAATGTTTCCTGAATTTTAATGACTCTGTTCTGAACAAAGTCCTTCCATCGTGATGAGTGGCCGTTGACCCAAGTGATAGCCACTGATGAGTCGCTCCGAAGATGAATTTCTACGTTCTCAAGCTCCAAGACCTTGAGAACATGAGCGGCTAACTCGGTGAGGATCAATGCTGCAGTCAATTCCAGCCTTGGAATGGTGAATTTCTTGAGAGGAGCCACTTTCGTCTTCGCACAAACGAGAGTAACTGTCGGTTCTGCTTCTGGTGTTGAGGTTCGAAGATAGACTGCAGCTCCCATAGCGACGTTCGATGCATCAGCAAACCCATGCAGTTGTATGGTTGCAGAGTCTGTCAAAAGATGAATCTATCAAGGTATCGATAGGCTGTGGAGTTGCTGAAGCTCTTCCCTGAAGGTCTTCCAACGATTGCAATACTCCAAGGACAATGGATCATCCCAATTGACTTTGAGTTGCCACAGCTCCTGGATGAGTATCTTGGCTCTGATGGTGACTGGCCCGATGAGGCCCAGTGGATCGTAGATCGGCGCAATCTCCGAGAGGACTGCACGCTTGGTGATAGTACTTGAAGGGAAACGTTTGGATTTATAGTGGAAGGTGTCGGAGAATGGATGCCAAGACAGACCCAGCACCTTCACTGTTGAGTCCTCAAAATCCACTGTTGTTGATGCTCTCGTCGATATGCCCAATTGTTCGCAGGCACTTGATAAGTTGCTGGTCCATTTCTGCAGGGGGAAGCCGCCCGCCATGCAGAGATCGTTCATTTCGTTGATGATGTCCAGTAGCTGATCTTCATTGTCGGTGCCCCCGTAGATGTCATCTACGTAGCGACCTTTCCTGATTGCCGGTACTGCTAAAGGGTAACGAGGACCCTCGTCGATAGCCAACTGTTGCAGTACCCTTAGAGACAGGCAAGGTGCACTCGTGGTACCATATGTGACTGTCGTCAGATGATAGTCGATGAGCTGCTGGTTTTCATCCTGCCAAAGGATGCGTTGGAGGTCCCAATCGTCTGGATGAACTTTAATTTGTCGGAACATTTTTGTGATGTCCGTTCCAAACACGTAACGATGACTGCGTAGCCATATGAGTACGTCTGCAATGTTGAGTTGCAATGAAGGACCTGGATGAAGGATGTCGTTGAGAGAGACCCCCGTTGAGCTTCGACTGGAGCGGTTGAATACCACTCTTAATTTTGTGGTGATGCTATCCTCCTTCAACACTCCGTGATGAGGAAGATAGTACACTGATGATGGCTCTGACGTGGATACAACTCTCTCTATATGACCCAAGTCTTCATATTCTTTTATGAAGTCTCGATAAAGTTGACCAAAGGCAGGATCTGTTGATAATCGTCTGTTGATTCTCTGGAGCATCTTCATGGCCAAGGGTTTTGACTCGCCCAAGGCCCTTGGTGATGATTTCAAGGGAAGTCGCACTATGTAACGACCCGTGGAATCCCTCTGATGAGTTTCTATGAAGTGATTCTCGCACTCCTGTTCCTCAGGAGTCAAGTTCGTTGTTGCTTTGCTGATGACTTCCTCCTGGAGGTCTCTTCAGGAGGTCAAGTAGTTGTTGATTAACTGGTTGTTTCGTAGCTGAATATGAGGATCTTTGTCTGGAGCCATTGCAACATACAGGCCCTGAGATGATCCAACCAAACACTGTACTTTGAGCGATAAGTTGATTGTCCTTAAATTTGATGACCTGGTCGCCGATGACTTTTCCGTAATTATCAGCACCGATGATGATGTCAATAGTGCCAGGAACCAGGAATTGTGGATCCACGAGTTGAAGATCCTTGATTTGACGTGCCACAGATGAGTGACAACTGAATGGTGGTATTTTCGCCGTCAGTTTCTTCATGATATGAGCACTGATGATAACTCGAGCAGCTGGTTCGCATCTCGACTGGAAACCGAAAATGACGACACCCCGCGTGCTCCCTGAGTCCGCATCACCAATGCCGATGACTTTCACTGATGATGATGTTCGTTGAAGACGTAGTCGATTGACGAGGCCTTCAGAGACTAGAGATATCTCTGAACCCTGATCGATGAGTACGCGTGCTGCTGCTACGAATCCATGATGATTAAGAGCTTGAACTCTTGCCGTTGCTAGTACCACTAGTTGAGATGACTGATGAGCGTCGTTGATACTGAGGTAATCTCAATCGGTTTTGTTGATAGCCTCTGAATGGCGTTAGTCTATAGGATGATTGACATGGTGATTTTCTGAATAATGATGATCTCCAAGGACATCACTGTGGTACTTTTCTGATTGTTGAGGTCCCGATTTTTCCGCAACCTCGATGAGTTTTTGAGGAGGTGAGTCTCGTGATGATGAATCTTGACGAGTTGATTTTCGGTGACAGGCTGTATTTGAAGTTGATAATGGACCTGTTGATGAGTTGATAGATTGAATGTTGATTGACCTTAGTAGTAAGTGGCCAGTATTGGGGAATTTCCCACGCCCCCTCCCCCCTTTTTTCCAGGAAATGTGCGTGCAGGTGCAGGTGT